AAAAAAAAAAAAAAGTATATCTTCCTCAAGACTCAACACAGCCACACAGCCTGCCCCAGAGATGTCAGCCCCAGCTCTCACAACTACATGAACCAGCTCTTTAAACTCTGTTTTGTTTTTCTCAGAAACCCTATCTATCTATCTATCCATCCACCACCCGCCATCCATCCATTGGTCTATCAATCCAACATCTATATCATCTATACATTTATCAATGGATCATGTATCCATTCACAAATGGTATCTGTCTGTTCATCAATCTAGCTATCCATCTATATCATCTACCTATCAATCTATCATTTATCTATATCATCTATCCAGATATCAATCTATCATGTATCTATTTATGAACGATACCTATCTATCTGTCTATATGATCTATCTACCTATTAATCTGTTGTCTATCTTTATCATCTAGTATTAACTTATCATGTATCTATTTATGAATATTAATCTATCCATCCTTTCATCATCTGTTTATATCATCTATCCAGCTATCAGTCTATCATCTATCCATTTATCAATCTATCATTATCTATCTATGAATAATAATTATCGTCCATCCATCCAACCATCTATCAACCATTCATCTCTCTGTTGCTCTGGTTTATAACTATAGAGAATTTTACCCCCAGTCTCCCAGGTGGTATCAGACATCTAGAGAAATTTTTGGTTGTCTCGATCTTTCTGGTTGTCACCACTGGGGAAGGGTGCTGCTAGCATCTCGTAGGTGGAACCCAGGGACGATGCTTAACACCCTACAGTACACAGGATGGCCCCACAGAGACTCACCCAGTCCTAGGCTTATGCTGAGAAACCTTGTTTTGGATCCAAATGTCAGAAATGTCTGTATGCATCAAGGGTGAAGAATCACCGTCTCTAGGCAGAGCACAAATCTTTCTCTCTGGGAAACTAACTTTGTCACATTTGTTGTGCTCCTTGGACACTAAGTTTTTTGGCTCTGGTAGCAGTGTGAGATGGCCTTGGAAAGTGGAGTTATCACCAAACAGAATGTGGTCCTTCATGTGCACTACACAAATACCCCGGTGTCTTTTCAAACATACAACCTGTAGCTGTTCAAATACCACACGCTGATAATGCCACTTGCAAACATGTGAAGTTGTTTAACTGGAATTGGGTACTCCAAACGGTCATTGTTCAACTTGATTCCTGTCATCGGCAACACTCCATGATGCTTCCAGAAACACAAGTAAAACAAGACCAATGTTTTCGCATAGCATGAGAGGTCAGTCTACATTGCATAACTTGAGAGCTCATGTTATACAATCATAACATGATGCATCAGTCTGTCATCAATCTATCAAACACTTGTCCATCTCAATATGTATCATCTATCATCTATAACTATCTGTCTGTATAATAATAGTATCTATTATCTATCACCTATCTTAATATTCATCTATTAGCTACCCATCACCTATTCACCTATCAATCAATCACCCATCATTTAGACCTATCAATATATATTATTTTTCACCTATGCATTTCAACACATACCTACTTATCATATCTATCTATCACATCTCTATCTGTTGATCCTCTATTACAGTGGTTCATTAGTGGAGATAACTTTGCCCTTCTTCTCTCAAGGAACACTTGGTGATGTCTGGAGACACTTCTAGCTTTCATAATGAGGGTTGCTGCCCCTGATATCTGATGAGTGGAGCCCAGGGATGCTGCCCAGCACCCTACAGTACACAGGACAGTCCTACACACAAGATTCATCTAGCTATAAATGTGAGGCACCTCTGCTAGAAGTCCTTGTTTCACACCTTTATAAAGAAGAAGTTCACGACCTAAAACTTCCAGTATGGGAAGCAAATGTTAAGTAAGGCAACTTACATTTAGAAGAGAAGTGCACAGCTGGGAGAATTAAATACATTTTTCACAGAGAATCTAGGATTCTCCACTAAGACATGCTCCTTATCATGCAATGTTGGATACTCTCCAGCATTTATCCATGGGGCTGGCTGGATCTGGCATGCTCTCCCATGTTATGTACAGGGAATGCCAAGTGCCTCAATGCACTGGCTTAACTTTAATCCAGTTCTTAAAACCACTTATTCTCTCAAGTGTTCATGCACAGAAAAAGCAAAATGCTATAACAGGTTATCATGATACTGCAAGGCACTGAAAGATCGATTTTCAGCAACTCACTAAGGAGGTCACATGGGCTAAGGTACTTCATCACCTCCAAGTCCATATTGGTTTTTGGATTCTCTTTTTGAGACAATGTCATGGCTCACTGCAACCTCTGCCTCCCAGGCTCAAGGGATCCTCGAACCTCAGCCTCCTGAGTAGCTAAGACTACAGGTACCCAGGACCACACCCAGCTAATTTTTGTATTTTTTGTAGAGACAGGATCTTGCCATGTTGCCCAGGCTGGTCTCAAACTTATGGGCACAAGGGATCCTCCCATCTCAGCTTCCTAAAATGCTGAGATTATAGGTGTGAATCAACATGCCCAAGTGCTAAACTCATTTTCTGTAAATTTTGGGGAAAAGCCACCTGTAAACTGCTATACCATTAACTCTTTAAGGCTCATTGTTGACAATCATTTTCCTAGATCCAAAACTTTTCTCAAGGGCTACAGATTTCAGAGCCTGCTTTGTTTTCTGCAGTATTTCAAAATTGAAGAATTTTATTTATTTTTCTTTATTTTTATTTTTATTTTTGAGACCAGGTCTCACTCTGCCACCCAGGCTTGACTGCGGTGATGCAATCTCAGGTCACTGCAACCCCTGCCTCTCAGGCTCAACAGATTCTAGTGCCCCAGTCTCAAAAGTAGCTGAGATTACCAATGTGTGCCACCACATCCAGCTAATTTTTGTATTTCTAGCAGAGACAGAGATTGTCCATGTTGGCCAGGCTACAATTTTCTTTTTAATTTTTTTCTTAAGAGACAAGATTTCACTATGTTGCCCAGGGTGGTCTGACCTCAAGCAATCCTCCCACCTTGGCATCTAAAAATGCAGAGATTACAGGTGTGAGCCACCGAGCCCAGCCCCAAATCACAGAATTTTGAAATCAGCTTCTGCCATATTTTCCAAAAATAATGACTGTGATCCACTCAAGAATAACATATAAAATAGCCTTAAATTCCATGTAGACTTAAGTGACAAGGAAAAATTCATGCTTTTTGGCAGCAACACCAGGCTGACCTGACATACAAATAACAGCTCAAATTCAGTAACCAGCACTCGGAGGAGCTGGTGGCTGTATGGGCAAAGAACACACATGAAACATCCAAAATGTCCTCTTAGAAAGCTATCATGGGGCAGAGAAATTTCACTCCTTAAAAGATAGAAACAGACCAGGCATGGTGACTCATACCTGTAATCCCCAGCATGTGGGAGGCCAAGGTGGGAAGATCATTTCAGCCCAGGAGTTTGAGACCACCCTGAACAGCAAAGTGAGACTCCATTTCTAAAAAAAGTTTTAAAATGAGGCAGGTGTGGTGGTGCACTCCTTTATTCCAGCATGCCGGGAGGCTGAGGCAAGTGAAGTGCTTGAAGCCTGAAGTTCGAGATCAGCCTGGGCAACATAGCAAGACCCTGTTCATAGAAAAAAACAAAAACATCATCTTCACCAAAGAGTTTATAAAAAACATACAAATATGTTTCTGTTTTTTAATTAAAAATAACTATAAACATTACCAGGGTGTAATGGGGCATGCCTATAGTCCCAGCTACTCTGGAGCCTGAGACAGGAGCATGGCTTGAGCCCAGAAGGGTTGAGGTTGCAGTGAGCCTTGATTGCACCACTGAACCCCAGCCTGGGTCACAGACCACCACCATCTCTAAATTAAAAAAAAAAAATATATATATATATATATATATATTCACACATATATATACTTATATATATACATATATATATACATATTTATACACACATATATATGTGTGTGTGTATATATATATATATGAAAAGATATAAGATATATATATGAAAAGATATATATATGAAAAGATAAAAGTAAACCAAAACCACCATAGATAACTTTGGACAGAATTCCTAAAGTCTCTAGGGCTTTATATGAAACTTAAGAAATATAAACGGCTTTGTTCGTTAATTGAAAGTAGGCAGGCTGGGCGAAATAGCTCATGCCTATAATCCTAGAACTTTGGGAAGCTGTGGTTGGGGGATCATTTGAGGTCAGGAGTTTGAGACCAGCCTGGCCTCAAATGACAACATGACAAAAATTAGCCGGATGTCGTGGCATATGCCTGGAGTCCCAGCTACTCTAGGAGACTGAGGCAGGAGAATAATTTGAACCGAGGTAGCAGAGGTTGCGGTGAACCAAGCCTATGCCACTGCACTCCAGCCTGGGTGATAGAGCAAGACTCTGTCTCAAAAAAAAAAAAAAAAAAAAGAAAGAAAGAAAGAAAGAAAGAAAGCTGGGAATATCAAAATCAGAATCCATGTCCCTGCCGGAACCCACCTTATCTGCTAAGGAAAACAGTTCTTGAGCTATCCCAGCTTTAAGAAAGAACTACCTAACTAAAGCTCTGTTTTGCAAGCTCTGCTTTATTTTTTTTTTATTTTTATTTTTTTGGGGGATGGAGTTTCGCTCTTGTTACCCAGGCTGGAGTGCAATGGCCACTCGGCTCACAGCAACCTCTGCCTCCTGGGTTCAGGCAATTCTCCTGCCTCAGCCTCCTGAGTAGCTGGGATTACAGGCACGAGCCACCATGCCCAGCTAATTTTTTGTACTTTTAGTAGAGACGGGGTTTCACCATGTTGACCAGGATGGTCTCGATCTCTTGACCAGGGAATTCTCTGACTTGCATACTCCACCCACTCCCATGGCCTTGCAGTTCTTCTATGGGATTTTCAATTTCTGAACTGCAAAATACTTAAGAGCCCATCCTCTAGGCTGCTTTACTGCCCCAGGACATGCAGGGGCTGTGTTTAAGTCCTCAGGGCTATCACAACAGAGTACCACAAAGTGGGGGAGGCAGCAGACAAGAGACATGTATTCTCAGTACAGGTGTAGTGGCTGACCCCTGCAAACCCAGCACTGTGGGAGCCTGAGGCAGGAGGACTGCTTCAGACCAAGAGTTTGAGACCAGCCTGGTCAACACAGCAAGACCTCATCCCTACAAAAACTTAAAAATTAGCCAGGCATGATTGCGCACACCTGTAGTCTCAGCTAGTTGGAAGGCTGAGGCAAGAAAATTCCATGAGCTCAGGCAGTAGACGCTGCAGTGAGCCATGACTGTGCCACTGAACTCCAGCCGAGGACACAGAGTGAGACCCTGTCTCAAAAGAAAGAAAGGAGAGAAGGAAAGAAAAGAAAAGGAGGCAACGGAAGGGAGGAGGACAGAGAGTAGAGTAGGGGGAAGGGGAGAGGGAAGGGGACAAGAAGAGGGAGGACAAAGAAGGGGGACAAAAAGAGAGGAGGAGGAAGAGGGAAGGGAGGAAAGGGGAGGGGGCAGAGACGAGAGAGGTAGAAATAGTGAAACCCCATCTCTACTAAAAATACAAAAGTGAGCCAAGTCTGGTGGCACACACCTGTAGTCCCAGCTGCTCAGGAGGCTGAGGCAGGGGAACTGCTTAAACCTGAAAAGCATAGGCTGCAGTAAGCCAAGACTGCACCATTGCACTCCAACCTGGACAACAAAATGAGATGATCTCAAAAGAAAAAAAAAAGAAAGAAATGTTATTGTCTCATGATTTTGGAGCCCCAAACCAAAGTTCAGCATGCCAGTGTTGGTGGCATTGATTCTTCTGCAGGCTCTGATGGAGAATCTGCCCTCAGCCTCTCTCCCAGATTCTGGCAGTAGCCAGCAATCCTTGGAGGTCCCCTGGCTTGGAGATGCACCATTCCTCCAACCTGCCTCTATCCTCATGAGTTGTCCTCCTCACGATGTTTGGCTTCTCTGTGTATGTGCCTCCTTCCTTTTCTCCTGTAAGGACGCCAGTCATATAGGTTAAAAGCACACCATAGAGCAGAATGACTCCATCCTACTTACATTTTATTTTTCCATTTGCTTTTATAATAAGGATGTTGAGTGCAATGGCACCACCATAGCTCAATGCAGCCTTGAGCTCCTGGCATTAAGCAATCCTCTTGCTCATCCTTCCAAGTAGCTGGGACCACAGATATGTACCACCACATCTGGCTGTTTAATTTTTTATACAGACATTCTTACTATGTTGCCCATGCTGGTCTCAAACTCCTGGGCTCAAGTGATCCTTCCACCACAGCCTCACAAAGTGCTGCCATTACAGATAAGCATGAGCTACTGTGCCCAAACACTTGTATTTTAATTACATCTGCAAAGACTCTATTTCCAAATAGCATTCCAATTCCATTAACAGGAGCCAGAGGTCAGGATTTCAACATAGCTTTTCAGGAGACACAATTCAACCTATGAGGGGAAAGAACACCCAGAATTAGAGACCCTCACCCAAGATTTCATGCACACCCCACAATGTGACACTTAGGATACCTGCAAGCCATAAAAAGATGCAATGAAGCAAATCAAGAAGGGTCCCAGACCCTTCAAAAAAGGGTCCCAGACTTCAAAAGTAACTCTTGTTTTTTAAGACAGAGCATTGTTCTGTTGCCCAGGCTGGAGTACAACCGTGAGATCTTGGCTAATTGCAACCTCTGTCCCTCAGGTTCAAGTGATTCTTCTCCTTCAGCCTCCTGAGTAGCTGGTATTACAGATGCGTACCACCACAGCCAGCTAATTTTTGTATTTTTAGTATAGACAGAGTTTTGTCATGTTGGCCAGGCTGGTCTGAAACTCCTAACCTCAGGTGATCCTTGGCCTCCCAAACTGCTGGGATTATGGGTATAAGCCACCATGCCCAGCATCTGCTATGATTTTGTTGAGAGTTCAGGCAATGTTGGGTCTAGAGGAGAAGGCAGACATGTGCACTTGTTTGGGTATATGTGAAGTGCTTCAAGAACATGATATGGGGCACCCTGTGTCCTGACTCTAGCAGGTGAATGAGGGGAAACAGGTGGGTGTTTCTTAGGTGGAGCAAGCAAAAGAAAATTATGACAGCAAAGGAGGCCTGTGAAAGAGGGGTGGCCTAGGAGAAACCCTGGGGACAGTGTGTCAACAGCACCTTCCACCTTCTCCTGCAGGGAGGTGGTGGCCGGAGGCCAGTCCGTGAGGTCAGTGGCAGAGGACACTGCGTTGCTGGGGCTTTATGTGGGGTGCTTCAGGAGCTCACGGAGGATGAATGCAGAGGCAGGTCATTGCAGTGGTACCTGGGAGGACCAATGTGGCTGTAAAGTGAGGGATGTCTTCAAGGAGAGAAAGGCTGGGAGGGAAAGACCAGGTAGGAGGGAGGCCAGCGCAGAAAAGCAGGGCAGAGAGACGGGACCTGGATAAAGCAGAAGATGGACAGGTGAATGGGGGAGAAGTGGTAGCAAGACGGCGAAGCGCACACGAGTGAATTGGATGGAAGGCAGCCCCGAGACACGCAGGCATCCTCGTCTAAGACACCTGGTGGAAACGGAATGACCCTGCTGCCATGGGCTGAGCATCTGTGTCCTCCTGAATCCCTATGTTGGATCCTCACCCCTGAGGTGATGGTGTTAGGTGGTGGGTCCTCTGGGAGGTAATGAAGCCAAGAAGGTGGAGTGTCATGAATGGAATCAGTACCCTTATAAAAGGGACCCCAGAGAGCTCCCTC